CCTCCTTCAGTTTACTGGGTCTATATCTGCGGTAGAGCAAGTCGTTCTCTAGGAAGAACCCAGGAATACTGTCGGGTTGAGTCTCAGCCTGGAAAAACAATGGTGTTAAAGTAAGATCTTCCCTCTGCAACTTACGGAACTCCAACTTGGTCAGATGCGGGGGGAGTTTCTGAGGGTCTTGAGGGACAGCGGTAGCAGTAGAGTCAGCTGGCTGTGGACGTGCGGCTTGTGCACGGGTGGTCACGAGAACCGGAGGAGAAACTTCATCACTCTCTTGAACCTCTGCTGGAACATACTCAAGAATAGGGTTTATTGGCACAGAGTTACACACCTGGGGTTTGTCCATGACGATCAGGTTGGTCGGTTGCAGGTCTTCTGCCAAGTCGTTGCCTAGGAGAAGTTGCACTCCAGGCATGGGAAAAGGCTTTTCCCTGACGGCGACTTGGACTTCCCCGTTCACGTAGGGACAATCCAGGTGGACTCTGGCGAGAGGGTATGGAGTGGTAGCAGTGAGGTCAGTGATGAAGACTGTTTCCCTGGTGTAGACTATGTTGGGCACAGCCGACTTCAAGATGATCGATTGTAGAGCCGCTGTGTCCCTCAAGATCTTCAATTTGAAACGTCCCTCCGGATTTGAACCGTTGGCAGAGACAGTTCCAGTATACAGGTGGTTACTGAAAAGAGAAAGATCATTAACATCAACACCAACATTCATCACAGGCTTACCGGACTTAGGAGTTGGTTTGGGTCGTTGTTGGTCAGTGGTTCCCTTGTATTGAGACTTACCACACTTGTCTATGGTATGTCCATAGAGTCTACAATACTTGCAGTACAGTTGTGAACCAGCTTGATCGGGGCTCACCTTCTCGTAACTGTACCACGACTTCTTACTGGAGGATGGTTCGGGTGTCAGCCGGTGGATGAGGCTGTAAGTGTCAGCCGACTTAGCACACTTCAGGTAGTCGGTTTCTTCTTTATCTGCTAAGTAGAGGCGGACAGGAGGTGGCACACGTCTCAAGAATTCTTCAACAAGCATCAGGTTGACGAGTTCTGTAAAAGTAGAGACATGTGCTGCTTCCAGCCATTTCATGAAATACCTCCGTTTCGTGTTAGCAAACTCAAGGAAGGTAGTGGTACTTGCCTTCAGGTGGTCACGGAATTTCCTTCTATAACTTTCTGTGGAAAGTAGGTAGGCGTCCAACACTGCTTGTTTCAGAGTGTAGTAGTCATTCTCAGACGCCAAAGTACTGAGTGTGACTGCAGCTCTACCTGTAAGATGGACTCTGAGAAGTGTGGCCCATTGGTCGACAGGCCAACTGAGTTGATTAGCAAGGGTTTCAAAGGTGGTGAAAAACACATCAACTTCTGCTTCTACAAAGGATGGCATTAACTTACTTGCATGTGATATATTAAAACTGACGGGAAGATTGGCAGTAGCTTGCTGGCGTTGAGTGAAGTGGGAAGTTTCCAAGGCGATTTCACGTTGACGACACTCTAGAGCCAGAGTTGCTTGTTGCTTGTCATGTTCGCGTTGTATTTCCAATTCGCGTTGTTTTGTTTCAAGCTGTACTCTCTCACGTTCATGGAGCAAGGCGACCTCACGTTCGTGGAGGGCGAGTCCACGTTCGTGTTCTTCTCTCCTCAAGGCAGCTTCACGTTCTTGTTCGTCTCTCCTCAAAGCAGCTTCACGTTCTTGTTCTTCTCTCCTCAAGGCAGCTTCACGTTCGTGTTCGTCTCTCCTCAAAGCAGCTTCGCGTTCTTGTTCTTCCCTCCGTATGGCAGCCGCTCGTTCTTGTTGTTCGCGGGCTTCCCTTTGCTGCTCACGTTCAATCTTAGCCAGCTCTAGTTTAAGTTTCATCGTTGCCAAGTCAGTTTTATCTGCAATATAGTAAGTTTCATGAGTTTCAGAGTCTATCTTACCTTGCTCTAAATAGTAATCCAGCAACAGGTTGTGTAGGTCATTTTTGTTGGCTTGGTAGGGAACTTCTAGTTGATACTCATGTGCAAGAGTTTGTAATTCAGTCCTCTTGGCACGACTTAAAGTCCCTATTTCACCTGCTGGATTTGCACGGAAAGTTTGGAGACGAAACATGGTGAAATTAGCAAATAAAGGTACACGAATATTCAATAGTGAAATGTCAGAAACAGGACAACGTGGCAACTGGTACCTATCCTGTGTGATCTTTAACAATTAACGTTAAGTGAAAGATATTAAATGATTAAATTAAATCAAGGGCGCAGGAAATCTTGTACCCGGTACTCATGTAAGAGAATAAGGGCAAGAAAATCCTACTAACAAATGAAACAAAGTTTCGAAAACAAATGAAACAGTTAAATGCTTCAAAAGTAAAATTGGTAGTCCAAGGATGTAGGCATACCTTGCCAAGTCTCTATAGGACATAAAGCAAGTTTTTCCCACTGAATTTAATATGATACTTACAGAATTAGCGAACTTTTGTGCTCTGAAAAAATAAGCTAATTCCCTACCGTTGTATGTATCATCATCTCTGACTGACGTGTAGGGGTGCGAGGTGTCAACTTGTGACGAGAACTGCTGCTGAGGTCCCAATTCAGCAACTAAAGTTCGAGCTAGAGGAACTATGGCCCTCTTTGTCCTCCTACAGTCAGATTGCAGAAGATTGGGTACTCTTGACCCGGGGCAGACCACAGTACCAGGGTACCAATATGATGATCTGTCAGAATGAGAAATATTCAAGGGACATAGATGGTAAATACGAGTAATAACAAGGAGGGAGAGATGACCAATTAAGAGTATGACTGAGGCCTACAGTCACCACGTAATCCAAAGTTGTCTCACCTTCACTATATGTTACTCTCGTAATGCACAATACACCACACCTTATAAAAAATGAAATTGAATATGAAAAATAGTAAAGCTACGTTAACAAAGTTAAATACGCTTACCATAAATTACCACTTGGCACCAGTACCTGAGTGAAGCTCCTAGGACAGGCCCCCCATATAACTTGTGACGGTAACGCGTTGGTGTTCGGCTGTTTAAGGCTAGGGGTATGGCCTCGTCACATAGTTATAAAAAAAAATAGAAAAACTGGAACTTCGTCTGTGGTAAGGTAAGGAGAAGACACACAAAACACAAGTAAACTTTAACAATGAAATTTTAATTACGTTAAATAAATCAAAACATGAAAATAATGCACAAACAAATTCTTATATTAAAATCAATGAATAATAATAAGAATAATTAGATGACACAATGAAAAGTTACGTTAAGGCAAAATAACAAGAAGTGCAATACAAAAGTAAATGGGAGGTGCTGGAATATTGGCTTAAAGCCACCACTTCTCTCAGTACACGCTAGAGTCTAGCTGGGAGGAGTGGTGACAACGAGAGCACTGAACATTCTGAAGTCCGAGGTTGGGGCGACCCCAGACATCAAGTAGTATGGGGGGGCGAGTACAGGTGCAGCCAGACCGGCGACCAATCAGCGGAGCCGGTAGCGATCAACATGTAGTTTGGTGGTTTGAGTCCGAACAGGTGGCTGGCTGCATATGTTTTGCTCACCCTGGCAAGCCTTGCTGGTGTTGTTGTTGTTGTTGGACATGTCTTCCATAGTCGTTTTATATAATTTCAACGACGTGTTTGTGGAGGGAAGAGCAGGCTCAATCTCTTGAAGGAGATTATTGTCACAATATATATATATATATATATATATATATATATATATATATATATATATATATATATATATTTTTTTTTTATTTATATTGTATAATTACATATTGGGGGGTACCCAGCTTTGCCCAGGTATGTCTGTCTGTTTCCATCTCTCCATCCATATATCATCTATATAACCATCCATCCATCTCTCCATCATCCTGTTTATTAATCTTGCTTTCTATCCATATATCTATTTATCGATCCATCCATCCACCTGCTCATCTTTCTAGCCATGTATCTATCCATCTATATACCCACATATCTATCTATATCCATCCATCTATCCTTCTATTCATCTGCCTATCTATCTCCATCCATCCATCCATCCACCTACTCATCTTGCTGTCCATCTATCCATCCATGTACTTACCTGTCTATACATCTATCTAACCATCATTCCATCCACATATCCATCTATCTATCCATCCACATATCCATCCATCTATTCATCCATGTATCCATCCATCTATCTATCTATCTACTGTCTGTCTCTGTCTATCTCTGTCTTTGCCTGTCTCAGTCTCTCTCTCTCTTTCACTTATAAAATTTGTAATTGTGTAATGTGTAGGTGGTCACCAGTGAGAGGAGCTTACTGGTGTGAAATATTAAAAAAATGAATAGTTATTCCTTACTCTGATAGAAGACTGAGACTCGAGAAACCTTTGAAACTGTGGAAGAATTGTCTGTTTTATGCGAGTACAGTATGGTCAAATTATCGACAGTAGGAAATTTCTGTTAGTTTCCAAAAATCAGTGAATTACTGTGCATATTACTATAACAAATTTTGTTGAAAAGTTTGTTTTGAAAATAATTAACCGTGCAGCTGGCGAGGCAGTGCCAAAAAGTTTTGTGGGGGTCCGAATGTGGCCGTGGGATGCTGTTCCCTTCTGAATTGTGCTATACCCAACCAGCCTCTGTTCATCCCATACCTTAGACCAGTCCCTCTGCCAATTTTGGTGAGCCTAGGCCCCAACTGTATGGCCTGCAACTTTGAACAGACAAATAGACAGACAAATTATATTCTAGTATAGATTTACTTGAATTTTACCTGAGGACCACTAACACTTTGTCCTTGACAAAGACAGGAAGCCGATGGCTTGTCAAAGGTCTCCCCATTTGCTTTGAAAATGTGTGTGTGTATATATAATAATATATATGGGGGGGGGAGGGGGAAGGAGGTCATATGTGAATGACAGCATGTTCTTAGCCTTAGCCATAGGATACCAGTATATGGGTCAAGTTTTTTTTAATTTGCAATATTTCCCTGATTCATACTTGATAATGTTTGTATTTTTTGCTAGTTGATCATGAGGATAAGTATGGTAAGAAAAAATACAGAAACATTACAGACTAGCTGTATTGCATGCTCATATATCTGTTTATCTACTAAATATATGTTGTTTCCCATTGTATATTCCTATTGTACTGTATATCCAAAATCTCTTAAGAGATAAAGCACTACCCTAAGATATGCAATTGGGTAAAAATTACACCTGTGCTGGCTTGACATGGTGTGATTGGTCTTGGCCTACCTTGACATATGCAGGCTTGTCATGCCAGAATTGGTCTTGGCCTACCAGGATGTGTGTATGCTTGATATGCCAGGATGGGTCATGTTGTACATGGACATGTGCAAGCTTAACATGCCAGGATTGGTCTTGGTGTACCTAGACATGTACAGGCTTAACATGCCAGGATTGGTCTTGGTGTACCTAGACATGTACAGGCTTAACATGCCAGGATTGGTCTTGGTGTATCTGGACATGTGCAGGCTTGACATGCCAGGATTGGTCATGTCGTACCTGAACATGTGCTAATGTTTTTCCGACATCTCCCGACTCCTCCGCCACAATCCAAATGCATTCTTAGCTAAATCTATGCCTAAACCTTATGTGATGTATATCTGACTTGCTTGAGTGGTGGGAGCTATGTTAGTAAGTAGTGACTGTTGTATGTATAGGTTAGTCAGAATGTTATGCATTTAAATACATTTGAATTTACATTACTGTACTTTACTCTTGAAAGGAACTGCAGCAGATGAGGACTGTTTCTTATCATCATCATCATTGTCATCATCAGCATCATCGTAATCATCGTCATCATCATATCAATCAACAATCATCATCATATCATCACCACCACCACCATCACCACCCCATTCTTTTCTTTATGGTGATGAAAACATCTTACCCAAAGACAGGAGACGTTTAGGAGCGGAAGGTTAAAGGTGGTGGTCTCTTTCTTCACCTAGTTCTAAGCTGTTCTTCAGCAAGTAAGACTCTCTCATACTTACCCTCAATATTCCCACTAGATTTTCCACCTGTCTACTTGCTGTATTTACTAAAGTCTTTCCAAAACATCTTTACATTTATCTTGCCAAGTGTATATATATATGCACCTTTGCATATAAGCATGTGTTTGTGTGTTTAATTTCTATGGTCATATTTCCTTTCTACTCTTCCTGTGAATCAGAAAATCAGTATGTGATCTCAGAATGCAAAAATCAGTAGGAGCTCTGAGCAGCATTTGAACCTTTGGTCTGGGTCCTCCTAAGTAATCCTCCTCATGGCTCCTACTGATTTTCTCATTGATACATCACATTAATGTGATTTCTTTGTGCAGTACTCAGAATATTACATTTTTTTAATAAGATTTAGTAAAGTAAGCCTTTGTATGTAATATTTTAATGCATCATGCTTTGTTGTGGTGAGATGTTATAAGCAGCACATATTGCATGAAGTTAATTACCCACCCCATAAAGGTGGCAAAAAACTGGAATTTAGATTATTTAAGATTATAAATGAAGAAACTAAGATAATTTTCCGAGGGGAGCCCCTTTGGCTCCCCGGTGCTATCCAGTCTGATATTGCTAATGTCAGACTTCGGCATTAGCCATGTGTATGGAGTTCTTTGGGCCTACCGGGGACCACGAGCCAGAACCTGGCCCCCTCAGAGAGGTACGAGGAGCAATGGCCTATAGAAACCCCCATGTGGCTGGAAGCATTCTGTCTGCCATTGACCAGGTCAGGCACCCAGAAAGGTAAGCGCCCCAAAGCAAACCCCTATTGTGGTGAAAATTGCTACAAAAAGCCGAACTAGTGGACAGAACTCCCCAAACAGAAACGAGCAAACGAGCATGATGTCACACGTCGTCACGCCGCTGTCTGTGCAGCTCCTCCCAGGGGGAGCCCCCCTGGCAATCCACACCTCAGTTCTGAGGCTGATGCACTAGGCAGAGGTCGTGTGTTCTGGCTCCAGACTTGTTTCAGCTCTGTGCCTTATGCGTGGTGGCTGTCTTTTCGGCGGTGCGTGAGCCAGGCGTATTTCTTCAGTACTCAGGCTGCATGTGCCTAGGGTTCCCTTCTCTAGGTGCCTGGTAAGTATTGCCCTTGGGGCTTGGGGCCACCTCCACAAGTTTCTTGGGTTCTGCCTCTGCTTGGCCGTCTACTGCTCAGTTTTCGGCCGCCCTTTCTGTGCTAGGGTGTTCTGACTCCCTTGTTTGCCTTAGGGTAGGTGGCAGTTTGCATTGGTAAGGGATTCAGGGTACTGCACAGCTTGTTTTTACCATTCATAGTGGCTGGCTCTGTTCCGCCTGGGTACGCTGTCCTCTTGCGGAGGTTTTCTTTTTCTTTTTGTTTCCTTGCCTGTTGGGGGGTCTGCCTTGGTTATTGCCCCCTGTGTACTGAGTACTCTTATCTATTCAGGTGGTACCCCCTGCTAGGTCCCTGTGAGTGTACACGCTCTGGGGGTTCAGCTATTAGTAAGGTGTTTGGTAGGCTTGGGCTCCAGTTAGCAGTACCCTGCCTGGGCCTCCCTTAGCTTTTCTAAGGTTCTTTTCTTGTTGGCATTGGCCTCTGGGGGTTGGGTTGGGGAGCTTCATGCTCTCCTCTGGCGCAGGGGTTTTTGGTCTTTCGGTTCTGGTGGTTCGTTTGTTCGTTTGCAGCCATCTTTTTTTTTAGGGGGTCCTTGGGTTGTTGATGCTTGGTTGGTTCGGCCGTGGGGTGCATCATGTTTTGTGTCCGGTTTTTTACTTAGTTTCCCTTATTCCCTGTTCCAGGGTGCGGGTCTCCCAAGTCGTCTGCAGGATTACTCGGTCCAGCCAGCCTGTGGTCTATCCCCATGCCATGACGTTTGTAAGTTCGCAACTTTGGCTGCTGTTTTTGGTAATATGTCCTGGGCTGACATTTAGGCGCGGGGCTTTTGGAGGTCGAACAGGGTCCTGGCCGCACAGTACCTTGTTAGTGTTCCTGGCTCTTCTCGGGCATGTGTAGTCTTGGGTCGCAGGTTGCAGCCAGTTGTTTCAATTTCGAGTTGAGGAGCGAGTGGCGGCCGCCTCCTGGGTAAGTCCCTCTTTTACTTTATCATTGGTTAGGTAACTCCGGGAACCCGAAGGAGGTCTCCACAGAAAACCAGCGTTGAAAGTAATGAAATGCCATTTTTTGAGTGAGACACGGAGGCTCCCTGGCATCTATCCCTCCCTCCCTCCGGTCAGCGTTTTGTTCACATTTTTTATATTCAGCCTCTGAACTGGGGCTAGGTAACTGGCACGGGAGGTCTGGGACCCCCCCCTCCCCTTCCCTGTGAGGGGGGAGTTGTGCAGACAGTGGTGTGGTGGCTGTGGTGACATCATGCTTGTTTGCTTGTTTTCTGATTAGGAAGTTCTGCTTGCTCGTTCGGCTTTCGGTTAGCAGTTTTTTCACCAGCTGTAGTTTGTTTTGGAATTCCTACCTTTCTGGGTACCTGACTAGGTAGATGGCAGATATAGACTGCTTCCAACTACATGGAGATGTCTATAGGCTATCATAGCACCTTATGCCTCTCTGAGGGGGGCAAGGTTCTGGCTCGTGGTCCCTGGTAGGCTAAAGAACTCCATCGATTGACTGTTTCCATAGTCTAATATATACACATCAGCCCGGTATAGCTCCGGGGAGCCTCCAGGTCTCACCCAGAAAATGGCATTTCATTTCATTCAACGCTTTTTTTTTCTTAAATCATATTACTTTATCATAAGCAATATCAAAATTTAAGTCCTCCATTACTGATAGATTCACTTAGATAAAATATTTAATCCTGAAATATGAAAATAATTAAAGTTTTGTTTGGTTTGTGTGTAACAGGAGTTTTTGTATCTGATGCGGTGAGAGTGTTTGGTCGCAACATGTTGGTGCTGTTCAAGATGATACTCTTGGAGCGACGTGTGCTCTTCTATCACAGTCCCGTTGGCCCGCTGGTTCGCACCATCACCTCACTTATGGCACTCTTCCCTGACAACTTTCCCAATGGCTTGGCTCATGCTGCTTCTCTGAGGTTGGTCCATACAGTACTGTAAATTATGTAATATTTTATATCTAATACAAACTATTTAAAAGTTGTGATGTATAGTTCTCTTACCTGATATTTTTCATAAGTATAAAAATGTGAAGGGCATGAATCATAAGACTGCCAAGAGTTTACCAAGATGGTTTGGTCTTTGGTGAACAAATGGATGTTGGAGTGCTTAAGGGAATGTATTTGAGTGTCGGATTGAAGAAAGTGAAAAGGGAATGTGTGAGAAATTGTCGGGTTGAGTGGTACCAGTGCACAAAAAGTAGGAGGAAATAATACTACAAGGAATCAGTTTAAGGTTAAGTATATGACAATTTTAATGACAAGTTATGGAAAGAACTTTACACCTGTATGAAGTGGTTTGGCACTGCTATGAATGTATTGCTGGAGTGTGACAGTGGTGGTTTATATGCTGCTGCAGTGTGGACAATATGATAAATGAATGGATTGTCTTTTTGGGGAAATCTTTTTTTTAGTTCATGCCTTTCTGTTTCTTTCTATGTGGTTGATGCCTGCCTGGAGTAATGATTATGATGATGATGAAAATTATGTTGCCAATCCTACCTTATGTTACAGGCAACATAAGGTAGGATTAGACTAAGTACAGTATATGAAAAAAGGGTGAGGAGTTACTTTAGATTGTACCATTTTGTAAAGCCTACAGAGCCCACCCTATCCTGCCCATATGAGGACTTAAAAAATCTCGCAACTGAGCTCATCACATATACTTGGTAGTATAGATGGAATATAACAAAAAGTAAATTATGAAAATATAAAATCCTCGGTTTACTTATAGTGTTTTGCCATAAATGAACTTAATAACCCATTAAGATGCTCTCCAGACTTAGAATGAGTCACATGGCTATAACCCATAGTTAAATACATGCTTGTGGGTTCTCTAGCCCTCCAATGTAAGGTATAGTTTGTTGCTACCCCATTCTTTGTGCATCATGTCATTGTGATACTAGAAGACCAGGCCTCAAATATGTGTAATAGTTTAAACACTTTACTGGAGCAAAAGATATGGTTGGTAGTAAATGTATAATAGACCCAGTGAAGAGTATAGGTGCCATCTCAAGGTTATCTTGAGATGATTTCGGGGCTTAGCGTCCCCGCGGCCCGATCCTCGACCAGGCCTCCTGTTTGTTACACACCCCAGGAAGCAGCGCATAGCAGCTGTCTAACTCCCAGGTACCTATTTATTGCTAGGTGAACAGCCGCACCAGGGTGAAAGAAACTCTGCCCATTTGTTTCCGCCTCCACCGGGGATCGAACCCGGAACCTCAGGACTACGAATCCTAAGCGCTGTCCACTCAGCTGTCGGGCCCCAGCAGCTGAGCCATAGTCACAATCAGAGTACTGTACACTGCATGAATTTCAGAGGTTCTTGGCTCTCCACCCTATTTCCATCAAATACTGTATAAGAAATATTGCCGAAACACAAGTGGTGGTGTTCAAGAAACAACTGGAGAAGTTCCTGCAGTTACTGTTGGGTTAGTTGGGTTCTAATGGATATGTAATCCTGTGGGCTTTCCAAATAACAGCTTTTCAGATCAAGTTAATACAAGAGAAGCTGGCTTCAGGCTGGGCTTGGGAAGTAGAAGAACTCTCAGAACTAACTACAGGTGAATTATAAGTACCGTAATATTGCCAATGATCTAGATGTGAGGAAGGGTGCAGTTTTTACGACACATCTATTAAAGACCTTCTTAATACTGTAGTAATCCTAGTCCAAGTAAGTATGTACATTTCTGGAGACTAGCAACATTCTACATATACTGTGAAGACACACCCTCTTTCTACTTTTACCCAATTTACCCAACACCGAGTGATTTGACGGTCCCATCACTCAGCCTAATCACCCTACCCAACTAAATAATAAACAAAACACATACACACACACACACACACACAAACCAAAATTCAAATTTGAATCCTAGGGATTCAAAAGGTGACACCCCTTGTGTCAACACCTGCATCAGAAGAGCTCCAGAATATTTCACAATTCCTAAGTATAGTACAGGTTGATGATAGTGAGTGGTGTCCCAAAGAACATAAAGGTGTAGTGCTTTGGAAAAATAGGTGAGATAACACGAATGTGCCAAATGAAGTAAAAAATTGGATGAGAAAAAGTTGGCTTAATGTTCACAGAGCAGACAACAACATTCAAGATGGCCGCCGGCAAGAAGGAAAACAAAACAGAGCTAGATTTGGGGGGTTTTAATGAAGAAAGCATTGATATAAGCAGTCTATACAACAAGTTGGCAAAATTAGATATTATAGTGAACTATCATGTAGAAATAATCACCAGATTGAAAGAAAGTAATGACCACTTGAGTAGCAAAGTTTTAAGTCTTGAGTGGTTAGTGAAAAACTTATGCAAGGACAAGAATCAGTTGGAAACAAATTGCAAAGCCATGGAAGAGGAAAATAAAATCTTAGAAATAGCTTTGGAAGAAGTTAAAGCAAATTTAAACATAAATGACTACAATAGATTAGGTAAGGAAATTCAACAGGAAAAACAGCTTTTGTCAGTACAGATGGAGGAAGTTGCACAGGGAATAGAACAGTGCAAGAAAGATATTCAACTCGCCTATGCACAAGTGGCCAAGGAGAAGGAAAAAATAGAAGAAGCAGTAAAGGAAGCCAAACACTGCAGCAACCAGGACAAAACAAACATTAGGCTGGAAGTCAGAAAGGAACTGGCATCAAATCCTAAATTCGTGCAAAACACAGTTGATCGAAGTAAGTCCCTGATAATTTTTGGTTGCAAAGAAAAGGAGATAATATCTCGGTCAGAATGAGCTGTAGAAAAGAGAAAGTAGTAGATAAAATTGTTGGCCTCGTGGAAGGTCTTACTACCATAGAGAATGTCTGCAACTACAGGAGTATTGGAAAGTACGTAAAAGGGAAAGATTGAGGAGGATCACCCTAAATGGTGCCAAACAGATGGAAGAAGTACTAAGGAATGCTAGAAAATTATGAAGTGATGAGGAAAGGAAAGTATGGTCGTTAAGATGAGATCTTTCAAAAGAAGACAGAGAGAAGCTAAAACTGAACCCGTCGAGGCAAAACGTCTAAATGAGAGCAAGAATGATGAAGAAATCAATTATTTTCTGGGGTTACCTGGGGCATGAGTCTCGTTAAGCGCTCAGGGCCCTGGAAATCCCCTGGGGCGTGTGGGTCCAATGGATGTGACCCCGGGGTCCTCCCCCCTCGCTTCGTACGAGTTTGAGGGTTGTTCGGTCCCCTTGTCTCAGGGTGACCCCTCACTGTCTTTGCCTCTGTCACGCTGCCTGTTGGGTCGGTGACACTTTCGACCCTGAGTCCTGTGTGTTCTGCTGTTTGCTACTGACTCAATTTACCCAATCTGGTGATGATCTTATGAGGGTACAGGCAGCGCAGGCGTTGCATGCGCGTTTTAGGTTGTTGCAACGCACTCGGTTGGTTGCTCACCCGGATGCCCCGCAGCTGCCCTGTTTTGCTTACATGGATACGGGGTGGGGATCGCTTCGACCTTCGTTCAGTCCGCCCCCCCCCCCTTGTCCTTCCCCTCCTTGTGGTTTGTTCTGTCCCCCCCCCCCTTGCTTCCAGCCCCGAAGCGTCTGAGGGTTTCGTAGCCGGAGCAGGGTTTAGATGGTCTTGAGGCTCGGGCAGTCTTGGGGGATGCCCCTTCCGGTGTGGCAACGGAGGCATTCGAGTCTAGTCTCCCTGCCGAAGCCACCGGGTCTGACCAGTGGGCCCCTTTCCATTCAGCTTATGCGGCTACGCTGACTTTGTCTTTTGAGGCCGGTGCTTTGAGAGATGACTCGGCCCTGGGTCCTGCGGAGGAGGATCCCGGGGCGGGAGAGGGACTGACTTGGGGGAGCCTTGGGCCCCGCTGGACCCCACCTGGGTTTTTCTACCCTCTGAGCGGGGCTTGTTGTTACAAGGAGTGGGGTTCTCCCCCCCCCCCTCTGCGTGCGAATTGGATTTGGTGTCTGCCCCTCCCCCGGTTCTGTTCCGTGTCTCCCCGGGTGCGTCGGTTCCGTCCTTCCGGAGGCTTTTGGCTTCTCGCATCCAACCTTCTGCGGTATGGGCAGTCCTTGCGGCTTACCTCCTGCGTGACCCAGATTATGCCTCGGTGATGGATCTGTCTTCGTTCAGGTTTGGGACTTGTTCCCTCTCTGGGTCCGTTACGAGGTTCCGGAGTCAACCTGGCTGGTGGACTGTCCTGTCTTTGCGTTGGAGGAGGACTTTGCGTTGCGGCATTCTTTTTGCCGTACCCGCATGCTTGTGTGGTGCGAGGCTGCGACAGTAGTTCAGATTTTCCTGGGGGGGGGGGTGACCTGGAACACCTCAATGAGTGCTTGTTTGCCCCTGCACTTCCCTGGGATGTGGGCGTGGTGCAGCTCCATGTGCAGGTTCCCTCCCTCTTGACTGTGCAGGTTGCCGAGGACATGCATGTCTGTGGCCTTTTGGCTTCGGCCTTGCGTTTCTTTTTCCTCCTGGAGCTGTCTTCAGACTGGATTGTGGAGGATGTAGGAGCGCTCGAGGCCATCCCTGAGTCCGGTGCCTTGGGCTCAGAGGCCCGTTCGGCGGCTGCCTTTCTGAAACTGTTTGCGCCGATCCTGCTGGATGCTGTTTCCCGTGTTCTGTGCTTCCCGGCTCGCGTGTCGGCAGGAGGTGCTTGCCTCCTCCCTGGAATCGGCCTGGGCCCTGGCTCTTAGGATGTCTTCGCCTTTTTGTCCTCTGCTTTTTGAGGATTCTGCCATGGCACAGAGCTACGAGGAGAGGTTAGAGGTATTAAATATGCCAAAACTAGAAGACAGAAGAAAAAGAGGTGATATGATCACTACATACAAAATAGTAACAGGAATTGATAAAATCGATAGGGAAGATTTCCTGAGACCTGGAACTTCAAGAAGAAGAGGTCATTGATTTAAACTAGCCAAACACAGATGCCGGAGAGAGATAAGAAAATTCACTTATGTAAACAGAGTGGTAGACAGTTGGAACAAGTTAGGTGAGAAGGTGGTGGAGGCCAAAACTGTCAGTAATTTCATAGCATTATATGACAGAGTGCTGGGAAGGTGGGACACCGCGAGTGTAGCTCTCATCCTGTAACTACACTTGGGTAATTACATACATACATACATACATACATACATGCATGCATGCATGCATTTGTTTCTCTCACATAAATTCATCACTGGGCTCAGGGTGGTGATAAGCTGGTTTGTTTATTATAATTTTCTTTAAGATAGCATTGATTTGATTAATATTTGTTACAGCTTGAAGTTGATATTTACAACAATTTTATCAGTAGTTTATTATGGGTCTTATGAATGTTAATGAGAACTCAGGTCTTTAAGAAAAAAGTCTTTGGCATGAGTTTATCTTTCTACATATGGTGGCACTGCCAGGTCACGAGGTCCCCTAGGCTTTGTAATGCTGCAGCCTAGTCGAGATGAAGCTGATTACATGGAAGTGTGCTATGCAGAAGATGCCCTGGTTTCCCGGGTGAGCAGGTAAACCTCGTGAAACTTTAGCTCTCCTGACTGGCAGCACAATAGCTGCATTATACTGTACTTCTTTGCTCCAATAAGACAATTCCTAAAAGGCTCTCACTGTACAGCAAACCACTGACCGGTGCTTCAACAACCTGCCGCAACTTACAACATTCATGATGATTAAATAACACTAGCTGAAATTTTAAAGCAATATTGGTTAAACTAACTAAATAAAACAGGATACTGTAACTAACATTATAAGTTTTGGAGGGCATAGCTGCCCATTTAAGCTCATGTATGTAAGCTTGTGCACTGTACAGTCACACCTGCTGAGCTCATGTATGTAAGCTTGTGCACTGTGCAGCCACACCTACTGAGCTCATGGATGTAACCTTGTGCACTGTGCAACCACACCTACTGAGCTCATGTATGTAACCTTGTGCACTGTGCAGTCACACCTGCTGAGCTCATGTATGTAAGCTTGTGCACTGTGCAACCACACTTGCTACAATGATAAATATCTGCTTTATTCAGTCACTTGAGAATGAGTGCTGTAGGTGGTACCTAATACATAATATAGAGTAGAATATACTAATACAGTGAATAAGATTATATAATATGTTCTTTTTTTCTTAACCCCTAAACTGCACAAAACGTCATATGAAGTGTGACATTGAGCTCAGTTTTTTAAATTTTCTGAAACTCTTTCAAATATTTTGTACATAATCTACTAGGCAAATGCTCCAACTTTGTCTAAATGATACCAGTGTAACTTGAAAAACAAGAAAATAAAAAAATAATTATAAAATTGAATATTGAAATTTCAGTACAGTATTTTGAAATCGGCTGCAAAAATATAAAATATCACCTATTGTTCATTTGGTGCTATTATGCTCTCAGAATAGCATATGATCTTCTTTTTCATATATTTTGAATATAGGGTTTTCAGTATTGTTTACTGTAAAAAAAAATTGTCAATATGACATTTGAAATACGCACAAATTTAAACAACAAAAATTTATAACTCAAAACATTTAGAGTACTGTATATGAAAAATCAATTCTATAGGGATTGTAGAACAGACAGCTGTGCACACTACGTATATGTAAAAATGGTGAGAATCAGTCAGAAACTAGGTTTTTGGATACTGAATTTGAAATTCTAGTTATAGATACAGTATAATTGAAATTGACGTTATTGACAATGAATAAGGTAGTTCTAATTCATGAATTTACTTGTATGTTGTAATAAACATTGTTTGGCATTCGTACTCAAGTATGTGAAAGTTGTAAGTCAATGTGTGTAGAAATGAAGTCAAGAAAAAATACACCCCCCAAATATATAGGGATAATTATAATAATTATAATGATTTAAAGGATATATTTAGGGTATACTTTATATAAGTAAAAAAGCCCTAATCGTGTCCCTAATCATCAAAACAAATTAAAAAAACAAGGAAAATAGTTTGAAATCTGTGAAAAAATCAGCCAAAAAAAATTCAAATTCCCAAGTTCTAAGAGTTGTTACTGATTTATTTGTAGACCAATTTAATACTGTCTACACATAGTTAAGGACGGGTATGCACTCTCCAGGATGTAAAGGTTACAACAAATTCAAATAATAAACAAAGGAGGAAAACCTAAAAACCTAAAACAAAACAAAAATTCCCCTAAAAAAAAATTTCTGTGGAGAGCCCTCTTTGACTCCCCGGAGCTATACTGGGCTAATGTGTATATATTAGACCATGGCAACAGTCAGTCGAAGGAGTTCTAAGCCTACCGGGGACCAGAGCCAGAACCTGGCCACCTCAAGAGAGGCACAAGGAGCAATGGCCTAGAGACACCCCTGTGTAATTGGAAGCAGTCTTTGTCTGCCATCTACCAGGTCAGGCACCCAGAAAGGTAGGAATTTCAAAACAAACTACTGCTGGCCAAAAAATTGCAAACCGAAAGCCGAAAAAGTAAACAGAACTCCCCCAATCAAAAACCAGGAAACAAACATGACGCCACCACAACCACCGCGCATCCGTCTGAGCAAACCCCCCCGCTTCCCAGGAGGGGGGGATCCCAGACCTCCACACCGGCAACTCTCCCTAGTTCAAAGGGCGTTGTGATGGTGAATGGTCGATCGCTCTGGCTTCACTCTTTGCGCAGTGCTGCAGTGCGGTGTTGTTGCTCTGTATTGGTGGTGTGTGAGCCAGGAGTAACACTTGTACTGGGGCTGCATGCATCTAGGGCTACCTTCCCTAGGTGCCCCATAAGTACTGCCTTTGCGGCTTCAGGGTTATCTTCAATGAGCCGGTTCATTGACCGGCTCGAACCTTCAATTAGGACGGTTCGGCCTTGGGTTCTGACGTGGAGGATTCCGGGGCCGGGGAAGAGTTGACTTGGGGGGGGGGGGGCTGGGCCCCACTGGTCCCTGCTTGGGTGTTTGGTACCCTCGGTGCGGGGCATGTTGTTACAGGGGGAGGGGTTTTCCTATCCTCCCCTCCCTGTACAATTTTGTTAAGAGTTTGACCCGGGTTCGGTTCCGAGTTCCCTTGGGTTCTTCTGTTCCCTCCTCCTGGAGGTTTTTGGCTTCTGCATCCCACCGAGGAAGGTGTGGAAGGCCCCTTGTGGCTTACCTCCTGCGAGACCCAGATTATGCCTCGATATTGAAGCCATCTTATTTTTTGAGTTTGGCTCCTCTTTTCCTTATTGGGTGCGTTACAAGATGCAGGAGTCTTCCTGGCTGGCAGACTGCTTTTTCTTCGTTAGGCATTCGTCCTATCAGACTGCGCACTTGAATGGCAAGAGTTGCCTACGGTCGTTCAGGTTTTCCTGAGGGGTGAGTTGGAGCACCTCATTGCGTGCTTGTTCGCCCCCGTCCTTCCTTATGATGTCGGCCGGGTGCGGCTTCACGTGCAGGTTCCCTCCTTTTTGGCATCCCTGGTGACTGAGGATTGGTGCGCCGTGAGCCACTTGGCTTCGGTCTTGTACTTCTTTTCCCTGCTGGAGCTGTCTTCGAACTGGTTCCGGGACAGGGTCCAGTGGGCTTGCTTTGGCAACTCGTGTCCCGGCTGCTTTGGTGAAGTTGTATGCGCCGTTTCTGAGGGAGGCGGTGTTTGTTCTTTGCTTCTCGTCTCGCATGCTGACAGGCGGTGCTCATCAAAACTTTAGAATCGTCTTGGGCCCTGGCTCTTAGATTTTCATCCCCTTTTTGTCCGTTGCTGTTTGCAGAGTCTGCGGTGGTGCATTTTCTGCAGGCGGCTTCATCTAGTTGATGGCCTTTGTCGAACTTGTAGGTTCTTCGGGGGGGCCCATGGAGGTCCTGTCAGGGTCGTGCCAGGTCTCGGGGTTCCTTCGGTCGTCATAAGCCAGTAGTGCCAGATTCGGGGCCGGCACCTTCTCTAGAGCTGTCGGCGTCTGGTCAGAGCAGTGATCGCTCTCAGCGTCGGTTGGGCTCTCGTAGGGGTCGTTGGCCCTTTAGCGGGTTGCCCCGTTAACGGGGCGGTAGGGGGGAGGCTCGCGCTGGTTGCGCTCGCCTGGTCTCACCATTCGTGGGCATTTCGGGTCGTTTCCTCCAGCCTGCAGTGGTGTTGGATCACTCCTCCTCCTTTGGGGGGATCGGTGCTGATAGGGCAGGCCTCCTCTCCTGTACTCTGTTAGGTTATATGGATGTGGGTTCGCTTGGGTGTGGTCGAAATGACAACGTCCCTCAGGTGGGTTTCCCGCCTGTTTTCAGTTCCGAAACAGGGTTGTGCGGGTCTGCGATTCCTACTGGACTTGTCTAGTCTGAATCCCAAAGTCTTTTGCTCCTCCTTTCGTTTGACTACTGTCTCAGGTCCGGGTGCTTTTGGCACCGGGTGCCTAGATGGTGTCTATGGACCTCTGGGACGCGTATTGGCACGTCCCGATTCATCCAGGGTTCAGGGACTAGCTCGGTTTTGTCGTGGGGCAACAAGCTTACCACTTTCGTTGCCTTCCATTCGACTTGAATCTGGCACCTTGAGTGCTCACACGCCTTACCCGGGTCATGGTGACCTGTTTGTGTCTGTTAGGAGTTGGGGTTCTGGCTTACCTCGATGACTGGCTGGTGTGGGTTCCCAGCCAGTCTGTGTTGTCTGCGCGCCAGGAATATGGTTCTTTCCCAGCTCGCCGGGTTCGGGTTTTTGGTGAACTGGAGGAAGTCCCATTTGGTTCCCTCTCAGGTTCGGACTTGGCTGGGTCTTGTCTGGGACTCACGGACCACTTCCTTGTCTCTCCCTCCGGCAACACTGTTGTGGCTGTGGTCCCGCCTCCGGCTGTTTTTGGAGGGCACCCAGGTCACACATCAGTTGTTCGAGCGGCTGTGCGAGAGCCTGAACTTCGCCATGCTGGTCTACCCATCGGGTTGGATCTGGCTTCGGCGGATGTACTGGTGTCTTCGAGGTTGTCCATTCCGCCACTCTCGCGATCAATGGGTTCTGAACCCGGGACCCTTGCGTTTGCTGCTGTGTCGCCAACTTCCTCTGCAGGTTTTTCAAGGTTTTGTGCCAAGGCACCTCCCCGAGCCCTCGCTTGATGTGTTCACGGATGCCTCATCTCTTGGCTGGGGTTTTGTGACAAGTGCTCACCAGGCTGGCCAGGGTCAGTGGGGTTCGTTCTTTCGTCGAGCTCGCAGCACGGCATGGGAGTTTGCGGCGGTGTGGCATTTGCTTCAGAGGATTCGGGTCGCTCGAGGAGCAATGATCTGGCTCCATTCGAACTGCTCCTCGGTGGTTCATTGCTTGAACCGCTGGGGTTCGATGAGGTCCTTGGTTCTTTGGAGATGGTCACTCCGAGTGACTCGTCTGCTGAGTTCTCGGGGGTTTGGCTCTCCTGGCGGTTCATGTTCAGGGGGTGTCAAACGTCCTGGCGGACAGCCTGTCTCGGCATCCCCAGCGTTTTTTCCCGTTTTTGATACTCAGCCTCTGAACTGAAGAGAGAGTTGCTGGTGTGGAGGTCTGGGATTTCCACCCGTCCTCCTCCCGGGGAAGGGGCTTGTACAGATGGATGTGT